GGGAGAGTAATCTTACAGTCCAGAAACAAAGGACTCTAAGACCCTGAAGGGAGAAGAGCACAAGCAGAATGTGAGACCTATCCAGAGAAGCAGTAACACCAGAGATGGAGGCAAAGATGGAGACATGGAGAGACGGAGCAGCTGAGGACTCCAGATTCATGGGAAAAGAGGGACTGAGAACTCATGGCCAGGAAGCAGACTTGTAAAATGTGCCCTTTGGTGTTTCCTTCTGTTGTATATAAAGTATCGCTATGAGTCAGAAAGGACTCATTGGCATCTAACAACAACAAATTGTTCTGGTGGAGCAGAACACATTACTAAAAATTGGAAATCAACCTGAACATACCACCAGAAAAGCCCCTTGTTGTCAAGTGTTGTCGGGTTGGCTCAGAAAAGGCCCTTAACTAATATTAAAAGACTGCTACAAGGAATCCTGAACTCCATCCAGAATCTTCTGAGGCGGGAAATTTCCACTTGAAAGGACAAGCAGACCAGGCTGGCTGGCTTGAAGAACAGAATATACCTGGTGAAAGAAAGACCGGCAGGAAAAATCAAAAATAGTAATGGCAGTCCAACTGACTACTACAAGAACAAGCAAGCTGTTCCCCTGGGAGCCATCAAGGCAAGTGGTCAGGTCCCCTCAGAGCAAACCCCCTTCCAAGACTAAGACTCAAGGGGAATACACAAGTAGGAATGGGGTCTGGCTGGTGACCACGTTGATAATGGGAAGTGAGGGAAAAACAGCAATGAAATTGTGAGCTAAGTCTGACCACATTCAATAGACTCCTGTGAACCCAGGTTGAAACCTGGTTGGCCAGCAGTATGGCAAGACCTAGGGAGTCCTGGGCCCAGAGACAGTGACAGAGGACTAGAGCAGAAAGTGAAGTGTCCAGCTGATATGAAGTGAGGGGAGATGCACAAGAACACCCATAGTTGCAGATAGTACCCACTTAACCTGACTTCGATGGCTGGATGATCAAAACTCAACTAGAAGAAGAAAGAAGATGGAAAAAAAGAGTTATCCACTACAATTTGATGAACTTGAGCTATACTTATGAATGTAGTAGCTCAAAAGAGGGAACAAATCTTTACAGCGAGAATCATTCCTAACCCCTCAGTACACAGGGTTGACAGGGTGGGGCAACTTAGACACTGGCTACCCAAAATGGGGGGATGGTGCTATAAAGGCTAACAAGCTTTCAGGAGGGAACCTAGTTCCAGAGGGTACAGGAGAAGGTAGAATCTCCACTGAGTGATTTCTAATAGTGAATATCTGCTACCAGGACTGACTGTGAGGGTTGGAATTTGTAAAGGTAGATGTTTTGTAACAAAAGGAGGGGAGTGGTTGATTTTGCAGTCCAGGAGCGGACCATCAGGGGAGAAGAGCAGAGTGCAGTACCCTACCCAGAGAAGAAGTGACTCCAGAGATGGAGGCAGAGACGATGACGTGGAGAGATGGAGCAACTGGGGACTCTGGACTCAGGGAGGGAGAAAGGGGCTGTGTGCTTATGGCTTGCAGGGTGTACCCTTTGGTTATTTGATGACGCATGGAGCGGATTGCAATCATTGCAGTGAAATGAAATACAATAGGATGAATGTAAAGCTGGTATTCCCCCATGTAAACTATCACATAATTCACACAAAAACTAAGATACACATATCTTGGTTTCTAAATCCAATTCCCAATTCAAAGGAACCAGGGCTCCTTGGAGAAATAGTGGATTCCAAGGATGGTAAAGAAAAAGTAGAAGATAAGCCTGAATTATCTTATTATACTAGGAAATAAATACAAAAATAACAGACATATGGGATATGGGAAGATGGTATGAAAGGGTTCTCACTGGCCAAAACAAGGACAATTTCAGCAACAAAATAATGGTCTATTTTGTTATTTTGTTAAACCATTTAAAAAAACAACAAAGAGGGTCTCCTGAGTTCACAGTGATAATAAATCTAAATAAATAAATAGAAGAGAAGAGAGAGATTGTTAACGGCACAATCCCAAAAGCCAGCTGGTAAATGTGGAGAAGGTGCTGGAACTGGAAAAGTATCACTTGCCCCCACTGTGGTAAAGATGGGGTCAGACAGGAATCACTTCATGGATGCTAAATCCAGGGGGAAATAGGGAGGAGGGGTGAGAAGTGTATGGTGTTAAGATTATCTGCCTGCTTATTTGTTGTGAGAAAAGAAAAGTGAAAAACCACAAACAGATACATTGACCAGCGGTGGTGTTTGTGTGCTGTGGAGTCAGTTCCGACTCATAACGACCCTGTAACCGGGTTTCCAAGGCTGTAAATCTTTACGGGAGCAGAAAGCCTCATCTTTCTCCCTAATAGTTTCGAACTAGCTGACCTTGAGGTTAGCAGCCCAACTCGTAACACTATGTTTCCAGGGTGCTTATACATTAACCAGGAATATCAAAAATTAACATAACTCAGCCAAGAAGAAAAAAGCATCCCTGAAGCACGCCAAAACAAGAACGAATGTCAAATACAAGGCCGAGCACAGTAAATCAGTCACAAAACCACAGACACTGTATGAACTCACTTATATGAAATCAGCAAATATACAGGCACCAAAAATTATTAGTGGTTACCAGAATGGGAGGAGTTTGTGCTCAGAGGGCAGAGTTTATGTTAATTGGGGTAGGGTGATTTGGAAAATGATGAATGACAGCCTATGAAGGGTGGCACAACTTGATGAATGCAATCAACGTCACTGAACTGGATGTATAGAAATTCTTGAGCTGACCAACATTTTGCTGCATGCATTTTCACTATACACACACACACACACACACACAATTAACAGTACCAGAGGGACAGATAGACACTGGGTGCCTCAGATGGGATTTTGGAACAACATAGCATCGCCTCTGTAGTGCTCCATAATTATTTTCCAAGAATGCAAAACCTGAATCTAATCACCAGGAGCCCCACCAAAAAAGTTCTTCTAAAAATGGGGGAGGGGTTTTCTTTTTCTGAAACGTCAATACCATAAAAAAAATTTGGGGGGAAAAGAAAATTGTGGAAATGCTCCCAATTAAAAGAGGCTGAAGAGACATAACTGTTAAAAGCAGTATTTGACCCCAGAAATTTTTCTTCTCCAATCTTGAATCAAGTATTGCCCCCTCTACTGGAGGAGAAAATACAGCACTAGGTCAACTGACAAAGTGAGAACCGAATCAAGTATTATCAATGTTACATTTACTGAAGTTTATAGGCTGTGGCTCACATAGTCCTTGTTTCAGGAAATATACACTGTGTATTCCTACTGGACGCAAAGAGCCAGGATATACAGGTACACCAAGGGGATACTGTGGGCTCGGTTCCATTCTGCTGCAAGAAACCAAATAGCCCACTGAAGTAACACACATATTCTGCTTTCCCAGTGCACATGAAAGCTGTGTTTACACTATGTTGTAGTACACTAAATGTCAGAGTAAAACTAGACTCCATAGCATTCTCAATGGCTGTGATCTTTCAGCAGCAGATCACAAGGCTTTCTTCCAAGACATCTCTGGGTAGACTCCAACCACCCACCGTTTGGTCAGTAGCCAAGGACTTAGCAATTTCATCACCCAGGACCTCCTATCATGTATAACCTACACTTTTAGTGGTTTAGAAAAAAAAAAAAAAAAATCAAATATGTGTTTGTGCACGACAGAGAGCAAGATCAAGCATGTGCACAAATGATACAGAAAATGGGGGAAATGTTAACAAGAGGAGAATCCTGGCCAAAGGTACATGAATGTTCTTGATATTAATTACTTTTGTAACCAATATGTAAGTGTGAAATTATAACCAAATAAAACGTTGAAAGGGGTCAGTAAAGAAAAACATTCCCAACTGATGAGCAATTTTCTTCACAAATAAGAATTAAGACCTAAAAATCTAGGACACAAAGTTTACTGGCACTAACTTACTCAGAATTTCTACACAAAATAGTTATACAGTATGAACCATCTAATACTTACAATTCAATACATGTTACCAAGTCAAATCCAAGCAAACTGGAGTCTCTCTCCACAGCAGAGCCATGATACAAGGTAACAGTCAAGGTCCTTTCCCTGGGTTTCAGATAGTCGCCAATGAGAGGAGACAACTTATACCTACAAAAGCATTGTTGCAGAAATAAGAGACTTTTGAATGCAGTGACCTATTTAAGATGATCTCACCAGCTACAGAATGCTGATCCTCATCATTATCTCTGACATATATTGAAAGAACTCTGACATGGCCTATCTTGCACGTCTTGTGTTTCCACCCACACAGGGAAGTCACCAGCCAATGAGAACATGATTTTCAAGTGTTATCACTATAAATAACTTTGATACTGCTCTCACTTTTAGTACTTTTAATTTTCTAGCTCACTTTAGATCAGTGGTATCAACTTTTTCTTCTTTAGTAGAAAAGCCAGGCCAATCTTGAAGCATCTAACAAATATAAAGGAGTCACCGGGTGCTGCAAACAGTTAATGTCCTTGACCGCTAACTGAAAGGCTGAAGGTTCAAGTCTATCCAGAGATGCCTCAGAAGAGAGACCTTGTACTCTACTGCTGAACCAGAAGCCAATGAAAACCCCATGGAGCAGTTCTACTCTGACACACAAAGGGTCGCCATGAGTTGGCATCAACGTGATGGCAACTCTCATTTAATAAACATAGGGGTTTTGAAATGAAAAAAAAAAAAAAATCCCTTTTTCACGAACTTTCTCAAGACCCCTCATACATCGATCAGAAAGCTGCTCTGGTTCAAACTAGAGCAGAAGGTTTGTAACTTTGCCCCAGTGCTCTGCTGAACACTTTCACATCCTCTGCTATAAACCACAGCATGGTTGTTTATAGTGACTGGCATGAACGTGATGATACCTTGCCACGAAGCAAGTTTGAAATTGAATCTGTAATGCCTTGATTATTATGACTCAATTTGTAAGTTGGTGGAACAATATACAGGTATCATTTGCAATATGTACAGAATAAAACAAGCCAATTATTCATCAGCACCACAACAATGCTTCATTGTTCAGTTGGCTTAAGGCTCTCCCAGTCCCCAACCTTTTCAAACAACTGTATAAAGCTGACACTTTCTTGAAATAGAATTAACAATGCTGTTTGTTTTCTATGAATGTACAAGTCTGTCCGAAACTGGATGATTACTTTTTCCGTTGCAATTTATCCTTGTTGGTATCAACTCCAACAAGCAGTTCAATGCACTTGTGGAATTTTAGCAACCATAAGAGCGAAGTATCACCACAACCCAAGTCTGCAACCTGTAAAAGAGACAGTGTCAGTTCAAAGATATTCAAAGCCAGAGAAATGTAATAAAAATGTACAGAAAAAAAAGCAAAAGCATAAAAAATTAGCCATGTCCTGATAATTCTATAGAAAGCGTGTTAAGACTTTCACAAGACATTCCTCTTATTCTAGTCAGGTGTATGCTCGGGGCCTGGCACAGAAATACTTAAGTGCTCCAAAGAAAATATGGTGCCTCGGAACAACTTTACGATTAAACACCAAAAGCTGACTAGCACAGAAACCTGTCCTTGACCAGTATCTTAGTTATCTGCTGCTGTTGTTGCTAAGTTCCATCGAGTCGTCTCCGACCCATAGCAACCCTGTGTAGGGTTTCCGAGGAGCAGCTGATGAGCTCGAACCACTGACCTTGCAGTTCAAACAGCTGTGCAGTCTGGCGCATTAACCCACAGCACCATACCAGGACTCTAGAGAAAGCCTTTCTCTCTATCAGCACTGGAGAAAGGTCCTTGCCTCCTTTCAGCATCTGTAGGACCAAAATTCCTTGGAGATCTCCATGCATCTTGGGATCAACCTTCTTCTGGATTTAGGAGCTTCACAGTGCTAGGGCCACAGGTCCAAAAGATGAACTCCACTCTCAGCTTTTCTTTCTTGGTGGTAGTAGGTCCCTCTAAACTCTGTTTGCTTATTTAATCTCTTTTATATCTCAAAAGAGATCAACTCAAGATACAACCTAGTCCTATAGATTGCATTTAGCTTTGTTAACATCACAGAAGGATCTGCAATGCATAGCATAATCACATCAAATCAGGGCTAAACACATCAGGTCACACCATGGGGATAATTACACTGTATCAGATCTCACCATTGGGGATTATGACATTTTAACTGCCAGACTGCTGAGAATCCAAACCCAGACAAGGTAACATAAAACCGCAACTATCACCATCAGTGATTTATAATTCATGAATAAATATTCTTACTGATCTTATTTTCTTTATTACATTCTTGTAGGCTTTAATTGAATCTATTTTTCTTGATCACATAATAAAGTTTTCATCAATCATAACTGATTGCTCAATTTCTAGACTTCACTTTAGGAGAAAAAGGCAAATGGCAGTGAAATAAGCCCGTGACATTTTAAATTGCCTCCTCTCACAAAAGGATAACTCTAATCCAAATTCTTAGGTTGCTAATGGCCTCTAACTCAGACATAAATAAATATGAGGACATGAACTATTTCAGGATTTTAAATCATGAAAGATTCCATGTACTATCTTAATGTAATATACTTAAGAATAATTTTCAAATGCTAAAGTTGAACTTCTTAAGGCTGATCAGCTCAAGAATTCTGACTCCTTATTTCCCAATTGGTTTTTCATGGAATACTGCTTAAAAATCCAGACTGTATCTTAGCAAAAAAAAAAAAGACATTATGGATTGAATTGTGTCCCCCCAACAATATGTACTATAAATCCCAAGCATTACGTAAATCTGTTGCACGAGACTTGTTTGAAGTGTTCAAGAGCAAAGATATCAGTTTGAGGACTAAAGTGTGCCTGACTAAAGTCATGGTATTTTCAATAGCTTCATATGCTTGTGAAAACTGGACAGAGGATAAGGAAGACTATAGAAGAACTGATGCATCTGAATCATGGTCTTGGAGACGAATATTAAAGTACCACAGACTTCTAGTTAAGAATAAACAATTGTGTTGTAAGATGAACAACTGGAATATTTCTTGGAAGCCAGGTAGACAGACTTCATTGTCTCCTAGTTGGGACATATTTTCAGGAAGACCAATTCCTAGAGAAGGATATCATGCTAGATAAAGTGGAAGGTCAGCAAAAAAGAGGAAGACCCCCAAAGAGATGGACTGGCACAGTGGCCGTGAGAATGGTGCAGAACTAAGCAGTGTCTTGTTCTATTGTATGTGAAGTCGCTATGAGTTGGAATCGACTTGATGACACCTAACAACAACAATGACATACCTGTGGTTATAATTCCATATGGATAAGGGTTTCATTGTTTAGTTCATGAGGCAGGATTAGTATAGGGTCAATCTCTTAAAATATAAAAGAAGATTATACAAGTAAGCAGAGATGGGGGAAGAGAAATGCTAAGCCACACCAAAACTCAACAAGCACAGAAAGCTCAAAAAAGACAAGGACCTTCCTCCAGAGCCAACAAAGGGAGAATGCCTTCCCCTAGAGCCAGCATTCTGAATTTGATCATCTCACCAGCTAAACTGTGATAAAATGAATTTGCTTGTTAACATCATGCACACATGGCATTTCTGTTATAGCAGTTGACAATAAGACCGAGAATGGGGTGCTGCTCTAACATATGTCTAAAATGTGAAAGAAGCTTTGGAGTTGGGTAATGGGGAGTAGAGACTGGAAGAATTTTATGGTGCCTAAGTGTCGCTGGTGTGGTACTGTGGGCTAGTGTGTCAGACTGCAAAGCCATTTGAACTGCAAGGATGGTGGTTCAAGCTCACTAGCTGCTTCTTGGAAACCCTATACAGGGTCGCTCTGGGTCAGAACTGACTCAATGGCACTTAACAACAAGTGTCTCTGGTAGCGTAGTGGTTATGAATCGGGCTGCTAACCTCAAGGTCAGCAGTTCGAAACTACCAGCCGTTCTGTGGGAGAAAGATGAGGCTTTCTGCTCCCAAAAAGATCTACAGCCTCGGAAATCCTGTGCAGGGTCACTATGAGTCAGAACCGACTCCAAGATACTTAACAACAAAAACAAAGTGTTAGAACCATCTTACAGGCACTTAACAGTAACAATAATAAAAGCCTAGATTACCTTGAAGAAACTGTTGGTAGAATTATGGACTTCAAAGGCAATTTTGGAGAGGGCTAAGAAGCGACGATAACTACAGGGAAAGCACCAATCATCTTAGAGAACACATGTGGTACTAGATACAGGATGTTGCTAGAAATATGGACATTAAACGTGGCTCTGGTGAGGCTTTAAAAGAAAAGGATGAGCATGTGATTAAAAAATGGAAGAAAGGCAATACTTTCTATGCAGTAGTAAAGAATTTGTTTGAATTAGGTTCAAATGATTGGTGGAAGATAGAACTTACAAGTGATGTACTTGGATATCTGCCTGAGATTTCTAAGCAAGATTTTAACAGGGCCATACGGTTTCTCCTTGCCGCTTAAGGTACAATGCAAGAAAAAGGGAATGGATTTGTACATGAACCATGCAAAATGAAAACAAAACTAATAAGATTTGGAAAATCCTGTTGTACAAATGGACATATGTTCACCAAGGACACGGCTACACAATCGTATTAAATAAGTAGATTTAACCTGTGACTGACAGCTTTAACCAACTACCACAGCAAAAACAAACAAAAAACCATTAGCTTACACTGAAGCGGACAGAGAAAGAATGACACAATTTCTACAGGCAGGTAACAGGCCAAAGGAACTACATCTGTTGTCCTCCAAGAAATGAAAAGAACCATCCGAGGAGCAGTTCAGAGATGAGCAAGACTGTTGGAAGAAGGAGCACAAGAAGTAGAGTGGTCTTGATCTCAAAGGGTACAGTTATGGCCCCCTAAGTACAACAGTCATATCATCACCTCTTGGTTCCACAGAGTGAAGCTGCTTTCCGAGTACCAGGGGGATGGGACCTCAGCTCAAAGCTGTGGGGACAGGGCTGCCATATCCAAGGGAAAGACTAGAATGAGTCAGACCAGGGGGATCACCACTCAGATGGACAAGAAGAATGAGGCCACCCAAAGTCAAAGGAGCAGAGTTGCCACCCCAGTGAGCCTAGAAGTAGAAGATGAAGCCAAGGGCCAAGGGGCCTCCACCCAGAACCCAGGGGGTGTGGTCATCACCCAGGGTAGGGAGGACAAGGCCATTTGCCCAGACAGTCCCAAAGAATAGAGGATTATTTTCAAACCTTGGAAGTTAATATAAATTGTTCTGCTGGGTTTGGGATTTACTTGATGCTGTTACCCTCTTCTTCCCTTCTATTTCTCCTATTTGTAATGAAAATGTCTACCTTTGTGCCTGTTCCATCACTATACTTTTGAAACAGATGAGTTGTGGTCTTGATTTCACAGGTTCACAGATGTAGAGGAATTCTGCCCCACAATGAAATACACCTAGAGCCCTAACTTGTATTTTATATAGGTGATTCATAAGATGAGACTTGATACCTAAGAGTTGATTTAAGACTTTTGAAATGAGGTGATAGGCAAATGTGCTTTGCATGTGACAAGAACTTAATTTAGGGAGGGCCAAGGTCCTGGCGTGGTGCTGCAGGTTAATGCACTAGACTACAAAAGTCATTTTGAACTGCAATGTGGGTGGTTCAAGCTCACCAGTCACTCCCTGGACAAACCCTCTACAAGGTCGCTATGGGTCAGAACCGACTCGA